CGGTGCGGCCGGCGCTGGCTCGGGGGCGACGCAGGGAAGGATGAAGGGCGCGTCGGCGTCCCCGAAGGAACGAGTGCGACGAAGCGGACGTCGGAAGCTCATGGCGAAAGCGAGGGAGGAATCGGTGGACGTCTGATACCAAGTAAGATGGATAAACTCTGTCTATATTCAACTCAGGTACAGGGGGCGTGTTTATATACACGAGGAGTACGGAGGGAGGAGAGAGTTATCGTTACAACAGAACGTGGCGATCACGCCGTACGTGCAAGCGAGGGCAAAGCCGACGTGCGTGGGAGCGTGGGAGCGTGGGCGTGGGCGCCTGGAGACTCGCTCCTGTAGTTATCCATCATCTGAACGTGGGGCTATACCATGTTTCCAACACAAACATATTCAGAAAAACATAGAAGAGATAACTTCACGAGGTCACGGGTTCAAGTCCTGGAAACAGCCTCTTGCAGAAATGTAGGGAAAGGCTGCGTACAATAGACCCAAAGTGGTCGGACCCTTCCCCAGACCCTGCGCAAGCGGGAGCTACATGCACTGAGGCTGCCCTTTATAGAAGAGATAACTTGAGATTCAAACTCAAGGTTGACACCACAAATCATAAGCTTCACATATATGGCTCCTGATAGAAGCCTTGTGTAGAGTTAATCTAATCCATGGAGAATAAAGAAAATATGATATCTGGGGCTCGGTTTTAGTATGAGAAAGAATTGTCAGAACTAAATACGTCCCGCATGGAAAGACGAACAAATGCAAATTTCATGATATACCTGCTAGGTCGTTCAATTAGCTCATCCATCTTACTAACAGGTAAATAATTGTCCTATTATCTGCATTTTTTTGGCAAGGAAAAAATATTAATGTTAGCATATGTATAACATAGCGACATGTGAAGTACCTGGTAGAAATTCTAGAAAGTTTTCTTGTGGAGTGTTGAATTTCAATAGTGCGTGCACCTGCACAAGCAGAAACAACAGATAATATAGGCTGTGTGAGGGAATGGGAAGAGCGGCCGGATCTTATAAAGGAGCAACGCACAAGTGGAGGAGGCGGCTGGAGCGGTGCTGGCAGGCCGGAGGAGAGCGGTGGCTGGGCAGAAGAGAGAACGGGGCGACGGGGGATGGCATCGCTACAACGTCCAGAAGCAAGCCAGCACGCTGCTACCGTCCTGTGCAAGATGGGCACGGGAGGGGAAGAGGAGATGGGAGAGAGAACCAAAGCGAATGCGGAAGGAGGAGCAACCTTAATGCGCGAGTCTTGAGTTCCGCTAGCACTAGAACGATCGCAACCGTCTATTGAGGATCGAAGGTAAGCCTCCATGAGTGAACGAGAGGGCGCCCAAATAAGTCTTCAGAGCAGCGGCCCATTGACGTTTGGGCCTGTTGTGACGCTCATAGTTAGGAGCTTAGAAAAGGCCGTGAGGAGGCGATTGGACGACGAGACGATCCAGAGCGTCGAGTGAGTTGATCGCATGGTGCAGGGTGGCAAATCGCTGTAGATGCTCCTAGGTCGCCCCATCTTACTGTTTAGTAATGTGAGATACTATCTCACATCTAACATTCTAACAAGACATTATCCTGTATTGTGGACCATCCCATTGACAACTACGATCCGTTCCTTCCTCGTTTCCACTTCATTCCTCCAGGCTGTTTGTTTGTCCTGGTTGTGTGTTTGTTTGTTAAAGACCAACCCATCCTCCCGAAAAAAAATTATATAAGACCAGGTCTCATATAAAGCAGGTGATACCCGTCCTAATAGATGACACGTGGCATTCACAAATCACAACGCATCTAATCTCCCCCCCTGATTTCAGGTGGGGGTGGGGTAAATGCTTTGTGATTTGTGAATGTCACGTATCATTCATCAGGATGGGTCTCACCTGCTAATCCGTGAGACATGGTCTCATAGAATTTTTTTCCCCATCCTCCCACCCCGAGCCTACCCCAAACGGCCTTCGTGGACAAAATGCCATTGTTTCTTTTTCTATATTTTTGTCCCCTATTTTTTCTAGTTGTCTGTCACGTTATTCCTCCTCCCTGCTTTTCTTTCTTCTTTCTTGTCCTTGTCCCTGTGTGTTGCACGATCTAGAGAAGCAATCGATGCATGGAACGGATGAAGTTTGTGTATGTGTGCATATACAAGAAACAAAACAGATAGTGAGATGTGTGCTATCAGTGCATGCATGCATAGCTAGCTAGCTTTCATGTACCTCACGGTTCAGTAGAAAATTTCGAAACCTTCTATATACCGATCCGACAAATGGATGGATGATAGTGTTTGGACAACCGTATATGATAAACATGAATTATTTAAAAGGAAATAAAAAATTAGGAATAACTTCAGTACATCATGCAGGTTCAGTAGGATAATCATACCAAAGTTCAGTACATCATACAGGTTTCAGTTAGACATGGTGGCTCTGCAGCAAAACATATATATGCAACAGGTTCAACAAAAAAATGGCTAATTATGGTATCTAGCTTATATACACGGCAAAAACACGTGCACCGCAAAAAAAAATTAGAACGGAAACTTCTCTAAAACTTAGAAGGTAATACATTACTGTTGTACTTGAAAATAAAAGTAGTATCGACACAACATCAAACAAGGCCTCCAACTTGATGTATCCATCCTTGGAAAATGAA